AAAAAGAGATCAGTAGTTACTATGACTTTCTTTTGAGTACCCAGATGCTTCATGTTTCATCCAGGGCCGATTTTAGGTCAAAAAACTAGTACATTCACTTTGCATTTATTTAATTATAAGATATGCAATTGGTCTTAAATACATGTAAAATCTCTCATTGAAGCCCCTGGTGCTAATTCACTTTATTGCATCCTTTAGGGTTGTGTGGGGAGAATATGTATGAGTTCATAGGATTGGATGATAATGTGGAGTAGGACAAGTCAGACATAACTGTGTTCAAGTTCCAATTTTGCTGTTCACTAGCTGTGTCACTCTGGTGAGTTACTTAACTCTTGTAAGCCTATTTTCTGAAGAAATGTGAACAATAAGGGTATGAGGATAAAATAAGATAATGTGTCTGATGTGCTTAGTATGGTGTGTGGCACACAACGTTAAAGCAGTGATTTTGTATTGGTGTGATTACTGACTTGTTCTCGAACGGGATGTAACTGAAATATCATGTAATTTAGTAAACAGAAGATAGATTTTCTAATAAAGAACAGAAAAATTCGATGTCAGAGAATAAGCCATATCGTAGAAATCACAGTAGTCGGTTTTTATTACTCTATATGTGTTCATTTCTCTTTGTTATTTCTTTGCCTTTAGTGAAGTCTATAAACATGGTTGTTAAGATTGCAGGTCTATAAAGCACATTTGTCATCTCAATCCCCTGGAATTAGCCAGATATTCCAGGTTCATCTTCCCATCCTTTCCAATCCAATCAACACTGCTAGGGATAATAGCAAACGTGTATTGACTGCTTCTTGGGTCCCAAGCACTGTTCTAAACACTTGACAACTGTTAAGTCATTTAAATCTCACAGCCCTTGGAGATGGCTGCCATTACTGCCTCCATTTATACAGATGAGAAAACTGAAGCCCAGAGAGGTTAGGTGGCTCTCACCCTAAGATGACATGACCCTCTTGGAAAACGGTGGAGCTGAGATTTAGTCCCAGGCAGGCTGGTTCCACAGTCTGTACTCTTAACCACATCATTCTATTTTCATTTGACGCTAGAAGATTGGATTTAAGTTGGCCTAGCTTTTCTGTGGTGGGGATACTAAAAAAGTAGATGACATCTTCCCCCAGCAGTTCATTAGTCATGAGTAATTTGTGGTGAGTATTGGCTTTTGTCTCCTGCCTCTAGCCACCAGCCATTCAGGAAGGTTCATAAAACCATTGGGAAGATCTGGGCGATTGTATCCTCTTGATAGACGACAAATGTCAGTCGTTAAATTACAAGATTTGAGAGTCAGTTTCTTTGGACTTATATCCAAAGAAGGAAGAACCGTTTTTGTATTAAGATATTTAAAAAGTCTCACATGCTTAGCAAGGAAGCTAAATTAAGCCCTGTGCTGGGCACAATTATAAACATGCTGCGTGCTTCAGATGAGGAAACGCGTGTCAAGAGAACAGTTGGTATACGTGGCCTTACTGGTACAGCTTCCCTTTATTCCATGTAACGTAAGTCACCCAATGTGAGCATTTCCATCGGACACTCACTGTCAGTCTCAGAAGAGCACATTGTAGGATTCAGTGCGTGTTGCACAACAACCCAAATTGCTCTTTTCTTTAGGGCGGTGATTTTTTTTTTTTTTTCTTTCCATATCCAGCGGTTAGTACTAAGGCCTGAAACCCTTAGTTACAGAACAAAGTGGCTTAGCAGTAATAGAGCCTGTGTGAGGCTAAGAGAAGCATAATGAACACTCCCTGTAAGCTTCCTGCCCAGATGCAGGTGCAGGAATCAGGAGGTCATGAATAATGCATGACATGCAGATTAGGCGGTGGTTTCTACTGGGGTTTTGACTTTGCTACCTGCCTGGCTGCTGCTATATGTGGAAGGAAGGGAGGCAATGGCCAGAAGTGCCCCAGCGTAGCCCGAGCTCACAAAAACACCGCATATCTTTTTGAAGAAATAAAATTGGGGGAGGAGCTGAAATGCAAACCTTTATGGTCTACTTTATCGAATAAAGTATGCTCCGGGTTATCCAATTTACCCCCTTTCAGAAGGGGGAAAAAAAAAAGCTTTCTTGTTTTCCCCTTTTAATTTAGGAAACCTTGTAATTATTTGTTCGTATCCATGCAGTCGTGGAATTCTTTGTAGACTGTTAAACCATTGTAGGAATTGCCTACTTACAGTATTTGATCAATGGATCAATGAAATTGTGTTACAAGATACAAATACCTAGAGGATATTGTAATTATAAGTTAAACAGCCCCATTTTTCTCCACTGATGTATGGAATGAGAGGCATCAGTAAGAGAATACCTCCATTATCAAACATCACCTGGTGGAATTACGATGAATGGAAATACGAAGGTTAAGGAGGAAGGAATACAAGACCTAAACATTGAAAGGATATGGAGTGAATTAAAGAATTGTAAGTGTTCAGGCTAATACTCTTTAGAACTTTATTTAGGTGGTAGGACTCTGATACCCGAGTGAGACTGTAGGGAAAGTTAAGAGGATTTCCTGTATTGTCCCTTGGGTCAGGGAGATTTAAGTGGGGAGATGTTTTTTGGCTCATAATTCCATTTTGATGATTGTATTTCAAGCAGACAGACTGAAAGAAATAAGGAAAGAGAAGAAAAAATGAGCCTTGCTACCTTTTGTATAATTCTTCTGCATTTCTATTGCATGTTTTTTTTTCCTCTCTCCCCAATTTAGGGTGCCGGAATATGAGCTGGCTTTCATTTCTAGCTGAGTCTGTCATTTCCGCTAGGCCCCAGTTTGGCCAGATGCCAAGACCAACAGGTGATCCTTGTAGCTGCAAAACAGCAGGAAGTGAGCCGTGCTTGAATGAGACAGTTCACCAGAGGGGCTGTCTGGCCTCTCTCCATCTTTCTGCATAATTAACATCCCCTCCCCTATGCGGAGCAGAAAATCTGTGCCGAGCGGCTCAGCTGCAGCAGCCATTGAGAAGCGCTGTGAGGAAAAGAATGTTAATAAGGGATGTTGGAAGAAATAAGCCTTCCCAGTGCAAAGTGCAGTCTGGCTCTGGATTTACAGAAAGTTTGCATTTAGCCCTTCTGCAGAGCTGGAACGGTATTATCTGTTTTTGAAATGATTTTCACTTGCTCAACAACTGTGGAAGACTGGGTTCTAGTGAATGTTGGAGCTCTTGGTTCTGACAAGGCTCAAAGACTGTTTTCTTTCCTGTACATGAGAGAAGTGTTTGGGACATAACGATACCGCAAGCCCAAAGACTGCCTAGATCTCACAAATTACGGTAAAGATAGAACAAAGCAGGAAGTTGGCCACAAGGAAGCAGGAAGTAGGACATATTGTCTTGCCAGTTAGTGACCCACAAAGGGGAGGAGGTTCAGCAACTAGCTCCTGATTGGAAGATACCAGCAGTGCTTGGAAATATAAACTATTCTGATGGATGATTCTAACCCCGGAAACTTGTAAGACAATGTAATTTTTACTTCTCCGCTATTTAGCTAACCTCTTGAATTGACTGCCTTCCTCAAAGCCCAGTGGCAGAGCATCACATCTAGAAAGCTTTTCTGCTAGAAATAACTGTTCACCTTCCTTCCTCCCCCAGTCTCCGATTCTGTTCCTGGACATTTGGATGAAGTTCCTGCAGCAGAAGAAAAACCAAACAAACCAAAAAAAAAAAAAAAAAAAAAAAAAAAGCCCCTTTCTTTTATCTTCTCAGGTTCTGTCACTGGGGGCCTGCAAATTAAACTGACAAAAGACTAAATAAACAAACAAACAGACAAAAGACAGATTAGCAAGAGGGGGGAGAAAAACTCATTTATTACACATGCAATATGCAGACTTTGCAGGCATGCTCAGTGATGAGTAACTCAAAGGGGTGGTTAAAGTGTGGTTTTAGATACCATTTTAACAAAGGGTGTAAATTATGGAAAAGTGAATAGTCAAAAGGGGGGTTTGAGCTTCTAGAGGGGGTGAATTGTAGGAAGTGACCAGGAAACAGGGGAATCTAATGATAGATAAGTGTTATTTATGTAGACTACTCTCAGTACCATGTCTGAGTGAAGAGTTGTATGTTGTGCTCTTCTAACTGGTTTTGGAAGTGGAGGGAGGGGGACACCTTTACAAAGGAAAATTTGCTTTTACGAAAGGAAGTTCATGTCCTGGTTTTCTGGCCTATAACGGGAAAGTAGAGAGCTCCTCCTTTGCCTGCTGTTTCTTACTTGTTTGCAACTCAAAATAATCCTGAGGCCAAAGTATCATATTCTGGGGTAGCATATCCTGAGCTCTTTTCATTAGCTCACTTTTTTAGGGTTTGTAATCCAGCCGTTGACTCAGGGAGGGTTTGCTTGCTGTCTCTTCGTATCCCTGGTGGGAAGAGGCGGCAGAAGGGGCTCACCCTCATCCTAGGCAAACACCACACCTTACATGACTTTTACCCACTTCTGCACCTTGCGAGGATTAGCTAGGCAGGAACTTTGTGTTGGACTGAATGAATCTGTCCTTTGATTAAAACTGGGGGTGGGGCTCTTGGGGCTCTTCACAGTGAACATTATGACAAGCCATTGTTACGTTAAAAGTGGTACAAATGGAGGATGCCTGGGTGGCTTGGTCCTTAAGCCTCTGCCTTCTGCTCATGTTATGGTCCCAGGGTCTTGGGACAGAGCCCCGCATCAGGCTCCCTGCTCCAAGGGAAACCTGCTTCTCCCTCTCCCACTCCCCTTGTTTGTGTTCTCTCACTCTCTCTGTCTCTCTCTGTCAAATAAATAAAATCTTTAAATAAATAAAGAAATAAATAATAAATGTGGTACAAAAGGAGAGAGACTGCAGGTTTGCGTGCATAGGAATTTAACTGTGTTCATTTACTAAGAGGTGATTAAGTTCTGGGGCTTTCTATATTAAGCATACTTACAAAGATCGTTTACAAACAAGGTCTTTTTTTTCTTTTTTTTTTTTAATTTGTTCATTTGTAATTGGGAATGTGCTTTTTTTAATGACTGGATTATTCTCATCTACCTATAGGGTACATCCGTCCCCAGTATCAAGGGTCCGGGGAAATCGAATGAATAATCAGAAGTTTGCTTGGTGAGTATACCGTCTAAGTTATAAAAATTTGTAAGTCTTACGGGAAATTTTAATTGGGTAATGTTAAAACAAGAGAGAATTATTTCTGCTTCTCTGTAGAGAGTACACTTCAACTAACCAAATTACATAGTCTCCCTTTCCTTTGGAAAGTTCTAAATGGAAGCAATAAAGTTCCTTCTCGGCCAAAGACCTTTACTCACCAAAAACTGAGGCAACATTTTTCTCCTAACAGATATGACATATTTTCCAGGATTATCCACTGTTATATTATTTTTAAAGAATGTTTCTTTCTTTTTTTTTTTTTTTTGAAGCTTTTATAAGTTTTTAGTGAGATTTAGGCAACAACAGAAATTTTTCTCAGATGCCAACTTCCATTTCTTGTAAAGATTTTTGTAGTAAATTGATCTATTATAAATTTTGATTATTATTTAGATGATTTTTTTTCTCATCTTAGCCGCAAATATCTAGGAATTTTCCTTCTTTCTTTATCTCTTTCTCTGTCTGTCTCTCTCTGTTTTCTTTCTTAAGTTAGTGCATATGAAGACCTTTTGTTTTCCTTTCTTCTTTCTCTCTTTTTTTCTTTTTTCTTTTGGCTTAAAACAACACACATTTATTCTCTTAAAGTTTTGGAGGTCAGAATTAAGACACCAATAAGGTATCTTGTTGAGGCTTAATCAAGGTGTCGGCTGGGTTGATTCCTTTTGAAGGTTCTAGGGGAGAATCCATTCCTGGCATTTTCTGTCTTACAGGGGCCGTTCTCAGTCCTTGACTTATGGCCCCACATCACATGCCTATCTCCCTCTGCTTCTGATATCACCACATTGTCTCCTTCCTTCGTAGTCAGATCTCTTTCTGCCTTCCTTTTACCAAGACACTTGGGATCGCATCTCAGGCCCACCATTAGTTAGTTAGCCTGAAATGATCTCCCTATCTCAAGATCCTTAATCATATCTGCAAAATCCACTTTGCCATGGAAGGTAACATTCATGACGTCCAGGGATTGGGACATGGGTCAAAGATACTTGATTGACTAGTTCTTGAAAATAAATAAGTAAATAAATAGAACTAACAGAAATGACCTGAAAAATTATTACAGTCACAAAAACATCAACTACTCATTCTTTGAAGAAGTAGTTTGAACTGTTTCACAAATGTTCATGTGAAGCAAACAAAAATATTAACGTACCATATTTGTTTATATTATTCCATGCCAAAAAATTAACCTTTCCACACATATCTTCAAAAAAGGAAAGAAAAGAAAAAGAAAAACATGAACCGTGCACTGCATTACTTGGAAAGTGAATGGAAATTCACAGATCTCCATTTGTACTTCATTGGATTGTGCTTAGAATGGGTTTTTGATTAAAAACTATGGCTTTTTCTTTTTTAAGTGCGGGAAGATGATTACCAAAGATTGAGCTTCCAAATTAATTTTATTCCTAAATCAGGATTATTTTTAGACACAAAATAATGACTCTTTGAATTTGAATAGTGCGTAATCAGCTCACCTCCCTTCCCCCATTAAATCTAATTAACCCTCACAATAGCTTGGTGATGTTGTTAAATATTATGCTTTTCTTTTTCACAGAGGGGGAAATGGAGCACAGAGAATATAGCCATTTGCTCCTACACTGTCTAAAAGCAGTGGCATCCTTCATGGTTTCTCACAGTCACTAAAACATATTGTCCCTTGTCACACCTGAAAAGCTAAGAGAATAATGCTGACACCCATCACACAAAAGGAAAGGGAGAAGCAACTCCTTTCTTGACTGTACCGATTGATATTCTTTCTCAGTACAAGGCATACTGTACCGAAGAAACTTTAGAACATACAGAGAATATGAGATGCTCGAGTGAGCGACGTCAGCTAATGAACAGAGTACAACATTGCCATTTAGCATATCCACCTTCTAACAACCGACTTCTCAGTGGCCAGTGTGGAACCCTGAATAAATAAGAAATATATTTTCCTTCACTCTTCCTTCCTGAAGTATTGGAGTAATGGTAGCTTGTTCCTACATAATTCATAGCATGTTATTTGGCTAGTAAGTTTAAACCATTTTTATCTCCAGAGAAGTATCCATGAAAAACAAAAAGGATTTTTACTACTAGTCTTGAGAAAGTTCAACTTTTATTTATTCAGCAACATTTACTTACAGTCTCTGGCACTGTGAAAAGCACTAGATTAGAAAGATAAATTAAAACATGGTTTCTGCCCTCAAGGGGCTCACTCTCTTGTAGGTGAGGGAGGGGTATGCATGTGTGAGAGAGAGAGACAGATACCACGTTCGCGTATGTAACACACAGTATCATATCATATAAACAACATATAATATGTAATAAAATGTGGGTAAGGCACTAAGAAGGTATACTTATATTAGAGGGAAATGTTACCAATTTTATTTTAGACCAGTTTGAAAGTGGATAGTGCGAAAGAGAACAAGTATAAAGGAAAAGAACTTTAAGAAAATCTGTCCCAGAGAAGGTTTCTGAGCAAAGACCCAGAATTAGTAGGAAAAGCAGAGCATTGAGTTACTGTTTCCATTATCTATTGAAGCTCATATACAAGGACCGGCGACATTTCTAAATTGAGTCTAGTAGGAACATATATGGATTTAAAACGTGCTTTATTTGGTCATGAATTAGTTAAGATTCCTATTCTATGTACCATCTCTAATTTTCTTTAAGTAAATGCTATGAGGCTGGTACATGGAAAGAAATCAGCTGGCTAGGAGGAAGCCAGTGACTCACCCAGCATCTACATCCAGTTAAGTGATAAACACTTGCTATTTCTTTGTGAAAGATTGGCTCTGGAAATTCGGAAACTTTAAATACTCGTGCTGGCAATAGAGATAAAGGGGAAGTGACTGTTGATCTTCCCCAAAGAGAAGTTTGGGATAATTTATAGAATTAGAAGGTAAATTCAACACCGGCATGGCTCTGGCTTGAGTTAGATCTGCAGACACCGTCTGTGTGTGATCCTGGGTGATTTTGTAAAGTTGGGTTAGCAAATGATCCAATCAGTTAAAAAATACCGTTTATCACAAAAGCAATTAAGCTTGACTAAAACATGAAAAGCTTTGAACTTATAAGTTATGCATAGGAAACGCAGGACAATTGGTAGGTTGTAAATGTCAGTGTCTGTGGTTGATCTATGAAACCAGTGTTCATTATTGAGTAAAGGTGGTTTAAAATTTTAAGTAGTGTTTTCCTCTGCATGATGTTAATATGGGAGGCACAGCCACTGGCCTCCTTCCTGTGGCAGCATCTCTTCTCTCTGGGACTGAAGTGACATGTAGAAAAGAATGTCTGTTCAAGGCAAACACACCTGCTTGAATGGAAAGAAAATTTGGTAACAAACATCCCTATCCAGGGACGAGATGAAAGCGCCAGGATGTGAGGGACAGACGTTTGGATGGAGGCAGGTTTGCTGTAACTCTCTGCTGACTTCCAGGGATTAAAGAATGTCAATAAGAATGTCATGGTGTTGGGGCGCCTGGGTGGCTTACTGGGTTAAAGTCTCTGCCTTCGGCTCAGGTCATGATTCCAGGGTCCTGGGATCGAGCCCCGCGTCGAGCCCGCGTCGGGCTCTCTGCTCAGCAGGGAGCCTGCTTCCCCCACCCCCTCTCTGCCTGCCTCTCTGCCTACTTGTGATCTCTGTCTGTCAGATAAATAAATAAAATCTTAAAAAAAAAAAAAAAAAAGAACTTCACGGTGGATACGTTAGCCCCCCAGTAAAGAGCACGAGCTCATTGTACAAGTCATTTAATATTCAGTTAATCAAAGGTAGTAATCCAACCGGACATAAACTCTGTCCCTCAGAATGGCTCTCCCCTCTTGCCACCCCACTAGAGAAATATTTGTCGATTTGAGGATTGATGAAGCCTTAGAGGCTTGGCATGTGAATTCCATTCTCTCTTGCATGGGCACATCTGTCTCTTCCCTTCACCACTGACCCTAAGCGGAGGTAATCATACCTTCCTTTATCCTGATAACTACCAAAAGTTTTTTTAGAGCATTTACCATTCTTTCTTGCATGTAATAATGCCGGTGGGGGGTAGGGTTGCTTCATTAAGGGGAAATGGGGCAAGTTTTATTAGAATTGAATGTGCAGATCGACTTTTGTTCTTCACAGATCTTTCTGTGTGAAGCTGTTATATTCCGTTATCAATCCCACAGAGAACGGTTGTTTCCATTGTCATCTTTTGGTTGTTTTATGCCCAAACATGTAGTAGAGATCTGGAACCTGTGTTTAGTGTGTATGCGTAGGTGGGAAATATCTCTGAACTGAAGTCGATTTCAGGCGCCAGAAATTTCCAGGATCAGTGAGAGTATTCCGAAGACCTACACCTCAGTAAATGCTCATTTTTAACTTTTCACCCTTTCTTCTCTCCTCTTCGCTTCACCCCCTCCCCTGCTCCATTCCCAAAGATTTAGAGGAGGTGGGTAGCTATCGTTTTTGAGTGATCGTCCTCATGGTGGTTATGCTAAGCCCCAGACATCCATCTGGGGCTCTTATGTTAAGAGTGGTAGTGGACATGACGTAATAGAGATTTTATGGGCTATTTATATAATGACATAGAAAATACAGTATTATTAACAGGAATCATCAGCAGTCAGATAGATGTGATTTGTCCCAACCAGTTGGACGCTGCTGCCACCCGTCTCAGTTACGGTTTATTTCTTACCAACATGCCCGAGATGTTATGTAGCTGTATACATCAGGAAGCTCCAGTTTTAATAGTGTGACTGTGCAAATTATGACACATTCCGAATGTGAATCACATTTTGCATTTGGACATGACAAAGTTCTGTGTCACGAATTTTTGTGGCAAGCAGGAGGAACCTTCTTGCGCTGTGATGTTTTATTGTCGGCTATAGAGTGCTACGGTGAACGCAGATATTTAAATGTATACGGTTGCCAGTGTTAGCTGTGATTTTCACCGAATCTTTCTGAGGGTATAACTATATCTTTGTCATAAAAATAAGAACACTTCTTG